ATTTCAAAGGAAGAATAGCCAAAAACTGGGGCAGTCTCTTCACAGTCTAGCTTGGCTGACAGGTCAAAAGGAAAAACAAAGATGGCAAAAAGTCAAGTTAGTTTTATTTGTTTTGTAATATTCTAACATGTGACTATTAGCTCTAACATAAGGATGTGGAGGGTTGGAGAATTCAGGACACAATCCCAATAATGCTGCTCTCTTTTGCCAGCGATTTCCCCAGGAAGTTTGTTATAAATTGCTTCTTAGCTGAGTCTTTACTAATCCTGCCTCATAGATGGAAAAATTTGCAGAAAAAGGCAAGCAAGCCATCTACTTTTGCCTTCAGGAAACTTTATGAATTCTTCTAGAATTCTCTTTGTCTGCCTTGGAGAACTTCCCGAAGGCAGAGGGGCTGGAGACTACAGTATATCCAACTGCTACCTTGGTGGCCATTGCCTCAGCAGAATACTACTCTCTCCTGCTTTGGGGTGCAATGTCTAGGGCAGTAGAGAGTGACTTGTCTTTCATAAAAATCTTTCTTTCCTCTTATCTAACTACAGAACTCAGAATTTTGTTTCCTATTTCTCCTTCCTTCCCCAATTACAATATTTAGTTATAATACAATACTTAGAAGAAGGGAAAGTCTCCTTATGTATTTCACTATCACTTCTAGGCACACACTTCATTTTGCAGATTATATTTATGCTCAGGGAGTTTTCCATCCAACCAGGCAAACCTTTTTCATCTAAAATTTGCTAACTTGGGTTGTGCAATCATTTGCACACATTATGCACAGAGGGATAATTCAGGGTCAGGGGAAAGAGAAGGGAGGAGGTAGGGGACATGGTGGGATGAGAGATGCTGTGTGGGTGGTACGTTCCTTCTCACCCTGAGCATGCCCTAGTCACCCTTGTCAGGAGCTCATGAAGAGCAGCTGTCTGCACTAGCCTTGCCCCAGGCCTTCCACGTGGCTTGGACTGAAGAGTTTCTGCATGCAGCTCTTTCACTATCCGTGGGCTCCCTCTGCCACAAGTCAGAGACTGTCTCAGGGCCTGGTGCATCTCTATGCATGAGCCCTAGTAACCTGAGTTACCACTTTCAGCAAGGAATTCTTGCATGATTAATGACTTTTTTTCTGTAGTATAATTCTTAGGAATTCATAACTACAGAAATGTTGACCTTTTTTTCGCCCTGTTTACTTCCTTCACTTTACTTATTGGCTCACTTTTTATCAGTATCTTAGTTAACAATCTGTGCAGTATTTGAAAGTGGTGACTGTCATTGCTTCAGTATATATTTTACAATAAGAACTTCTGACAAATTTGGATAAGGCCTTCCTCTCTTTCCTTTTATTTCCAAATTAGTGAGGTTTTTTAAAAAAACCTCACTAGTTTCTTCTAGTATGCTCATAGTGTTTCCTGGGTATCAATTCTCTTGATCCATCTTGTGAAGGAGGGGCAGAACTTGTCACCCTCCAATTAGCCTAGGGGAAGTTGTCACATGTGCGTGTAAGTGACATCTTGGGGCCCTCAGAGTTAACAAGATGCAGCCAACACTTCTGACTTGCACTTCAGTGTTCTTTGTGGGAAAATCTGATCCCCAGGTCACACTGACCTTCAGGAATATTTCTCCAATTCTGTGTTGCATGCACACCTGTTTGGTGAGTAATAAAGTCATGTTGAAAAGCTGATAGGCCTTTTTATAATGCCCCAAGCACTAGGCCTAGGGATGACAGAGCCAGGCTTGAAACTTTCTAACTGAACTTTGAGTAACTCTATCCCTCCTGATCACAGATCTCCCCTGATGGAGGTGTTATAACTGCTCTTAAGTGATTAGTGCTTTTCCTCTGGAGGGAGCTGCACTTTTGATATTCTGCTGTTTATTGCTTCTTTTTATTGGTAGGTCCACATGCCGTAAAGGTCTAATCTAACAAGGGAATGACCAGGAGTAGGAGTTAAAGATGGGCCTAATAGAGCCCAGGGGGGATTATAATCCTGTATCAGTCATAATTATTTGCCTCAAAACAGATACTGAGGGCTCCAGTTCTATCAAGTAAGGGCCTCCATGGATACACAGCTGCCTGTGAACGGAAACTGGCAGTAGTTGTGTGGCAGCTTAATATGGGGCACAAAGGGACATTTTCCAGAGGACAAAAATAATTGCTAGTCTGTTTCCAGCCATTTCTCAAGGTCAAAGAGCCTCAGGTTCCTACTAAACATATGGGGTCAAAATTCTGTTCTGAGTCTTCTCTGAGAAAACTGATCTCCAGAGTGTCTACTGCACACTGAAAAACTCTCACCAGCTAACTGCAAGGCAGGTTGGGAGGGTCAGATGGAAACCACCCACCTGCCCTTCTTCCCAGTCTCCCTGCAATTGGAGGAATCTTTCAGGGAGTGGCACCACTCAGCAGGCTCCAGGCTTGGCAGCCAACTCATTAATCCTTATGATAGCCTTGGAGGTAGGTTGGTGGCAAATGCCATCCTAGTTTGTAGACAGAAAGCTGAGGTACAGAGAGGTTAAGGGATGACAGTAACACAGCTACTAAATGGCAGAAATAGAAAAAAAGTCCTGGTCCCTTGATGCCTGTGTCTGTTTCTTCCAAAATAGGCTTCCTCTTTCATTGGGAAGACTAAGAGGGAAAATGGCAACTTCTGTGGCAGCAGGGTAGGTACGGACATTGAAGCAGGATGCTGTTTCATCTAAGGAAACACATTCACCCACTCATGCCCCAGTCGAGACAAGGAGACCAGCGGCCTTCATCTACCCCTCTGCAACTGGTTCCAGACAGCACCGGCAGTTTTCAACTAGAACAGGATGTCGTTTTCTTTTTTGGATTAGGTCCTAGTTGAGATACACACTTTATTCTGGTAATGATCAAACTATTCTCAGGCTCTGAGTTTATATCTTCTTAAAATGGGTCTTCAGGAGCAATTGTGCAGTCATTGGGGTGAGTGCAATGATGCAGTCTCTGGTTCTCAGGCCTGGGATCTTGTTCCTTCTCTCGCCATACAGAAGAAGGTATGTGTGGAGTAGTCTTGATTGCAAGGGGACGAATCAAGCCGTAGCCAGACAGTCACATGTCTACAAGACAAACATACCTCTTCTATTCAACTGTCCATTGCCTGATACATTCCTTCACTGAAAGTTTGTCACTTTGGATTAACCTAGGTAAAATATATTTTAGACTTTCTCTTTTAAAATGTAAATTTTCCCTGGAGTAATTATCAATCATAACTTAGAATGAATTTAATTTTTAGACCACTTTGCTTTAGGGGTACCAAGGAATGGGAATACTGTCAGAGAGGAGGAATAGTTTTGGAGGAAGCTTTGCTCTGGAAAAGCACATCTAGAATGAATATCTAAAAAGGAAGGTGGTAAAGAGGGCCGCACAAGGGATTTGCATACTTTGGGATGGTGCTGGTTGGGAGAAGATAGAATGAAGACAGTTTTTATGGGTACCTCTTTTGGGTCCCCTGGTTGTATCCCGTCCAGATCTTTGCCATGTCAATGTGGTTTCTATTGCTCCTGCCTTAGCCTTGGCACTGCAGCCCATGAAGCATAGCTTTGGTATAGATGAACCACCTTGGTTATCAATTTCTCCCTCTGTTAGGGGAATTGATTGGCTCTGGATAAAATTGCTCCCTGTGTGAAATATGTACTTGTACCTGAGGATTTCCCCTGACTGGACTCTATGTTTGAGGAGTATTGGCTGTGGGGATAAAGGGTAGGGGACCTTCGAGATCCCTCTTGTTCCCTCCAGCCCCTCTCCATCCCTTCCAGGGATGAAGCCTGGCCTGGGACTAGACTTTGGGACCCTGGCTGCTTGAGCTCCCACTTTGTAAGAGGCTTTCCCTAATGCCACTCTGATGGTCCTTCTTGTATATGTCTTGTGCCTGAGCAATGCCTGAGAGCTGACTCTCAAGACAGGCCAGTGGTCAGGTATCCTCCAGCTCAGAGCTGAGCTTGCTCCCAGCCCCCAAGGAAAGGAGGTGTAGATTTCAGGCTGAGCACTGATATCAGAAGAGGAGAGGAAAGAAAAGGACATTCTTTGCTTCAGGGAAGAAAACTGCCACGAGGCCTCAAAGCCTTTCAGTTCAGGGAGAGGCAGGGGTTCTTGCTCTCTTTCTCTGATGGTGCCCAGGGCAGAATTCCCACCAACACAAGGGATGTAATTGCATCAGGACCCAGGGGCTACAGTGACCCAAAAGAAAGGTCAGTGAGAACTCTGGGTATCCCCTGGACTGATGATTTAACCCAAAACTCCAAAATGGTGAAATGAGGTTTGGAACCCACAGACACAAGTTGAAAGCATAAATAATATGACTAATTCCATAGGAAAGCTGGGCTTATTAGTGTAAGCTGACCTTGCAAATTGGTGCCCCACAGGTTAAATTTGGCTTGCACACATTTTGTTTGGCCCACATGGTATATTTAAAATTTAGTTGGCAACATTTAAAATGCTGGAAATTTCACTTAAAAGTTTGGATTTCTGGCTTCTCCTCAAAAACCAGATGGCCAGTAACACTGGCTGGTAATCATTGCCTGGAACTGAGCAGCATCGGCCCTCTGCTCACCAATTTTCAGTACTAGCTCTCCCATGGTGATAGAAGAGCCCACTTGACCAATTTAAATCACCTGCCTACATCCTGTAGCCATCTGAGTTTGGGACCCCTGATATAGGGTCACATGGTGTCTGCTAGACAAGTGCTGTGTGATAAAGTCTGGCTGAGTTAGTGAGCTTGAGACAAGACTGGTAAAAAGCCATGAGGCAGCCACAATTCTGACTGGAAGGATTTCTGTGGAGAAATGGGGATGAAAGCAGTTCCTCGTAGCCGTTGGGGTAGAGAGGCAGGGCAGTCAGTCATATGAGACTGGGAACTTTGATGAGACAATGGGTTTATCTTGGTAGCCCTTATATATGGGAAAGGCAGTTTCCTAGTTGTCCAGCATGCACTGTTCCACTGCAGAGCCTGTCCAACCAGGGGTGGGTGTCGGCAGGGGGGAGGGAGGGACAGAAGACTCAAATCATGTTGGCATCTTTATGTTTCATCTTGCGCTATGTTAGCGCGGGTGTTTTCTTTCTTTCTTTGGCACCACTTCATACGGTTAGATCATCTGACCTGGCCCGGCTGCTGGCTTTGCTCAGCCTGCTCAGGGGTCTGCTGTCATCCCCGCTCAGCTCTGGACACAGTGAAGGCAGCTTCTCAGCCGGCAGCCCCTGCTCTGATACTTTCTCAGCCTGCAGCTCTTCTTTCTCAGCCTCCTTCCCCACTTCAGGGGGCTTCACTTTCTCCCCCTCCAGCACTGCTTCGGTCTCCTGCCCCTCTGTGCTCACTCTCTCTGCTTCCTGCCTCTTCTCTCCCACCTCTGGTTCTGCTCCCTCCTCCACAGGCTGCTCCTCCCCCTCTCCCTCATGTGCTCCCACCTGAGCATAGGAAGGCAGTGTCTCTTGGTAAGCCCGGGACAGGTCCCCTAGGGGCCCTGTGCCCATCTTCTCCTCAAACTGACTGAAAGGCGTGGCAGAAAGTGGGCTGGTCTCCACCATCCCAACCTCAGCCAAAGGGAAATAGTGGGACACGATTTTCTCTTCTTCGAGGAGCTGGTAGCCCTTGGCTTTCTGGATGGAGGAGACACCAATGGAGTGGAGGGATTTCTCAGGAACCTCCCCCAGTGGCTCCTCTGCAGGACTCTTGAAAGCAGATCGGATTTTCTTCAAGGCCAGGTGACTTATCTCCAGAATATTGAGGAAGAGGGACACAGAGGCCACACACAACATAAACAGAATGAAGATGGTTTTCTCCGTGGGCCGTGACACGAAGCAGTCCACCACGTTGGGGCACGGCCACCGGCTGCAGCGATAGAGGGGCAGGATCCGGAAACCGTACAGGAAGTAGTGGCCCACTACGAAGCCCACCTCAAAGAGGGTCTTGAAGATGATGTGGCAGATGTAGGTCCCCAGCAGGGTCCCCTCCAGCCGGAACTTCTTGGTGCCTTTGCTGCTGTTGCCGCTCTTCTTGATGCTGCCCTGGTCTGCGGGGGGCGGCGCCATCTCGCCGTTATCGGGGAGCTGCTGGCCCAGCTCCTCTGCTTCGCGCTCCTTCCGCTTCTCCTCCATGCGGACGTAGTGCACCGCGTGACCCACGTACACCAGGGACGGCGTGGAGACGAAGATGATCTGCAGCACCCACAGGCGGATGTGCGAGATGGGGAAGGCCTCATCGTAGCAGACGTTCTCGCAGCCCGGCTGCTGGGTGTTGCACACGAAGTCGGACTGCTCATCCCCCCACACGAACTCTGCGGCAGTGCCAAGGATAAGGATCCGGAAGATGAAAAGCACGGTGAGCCAGACTCTGCCGATGACTGTAGAGTGCTCATTCACCTCCTCCAAGATTTTCCCCAGGAAACTCCAGTCACCCATTTCTCACTCACCTGAAGGAGGGAGAAGGTAAAAGCTGAGCAGCCGCAGTGCAACCCTGAGTCAGTCTCTCTTTGCTAACTCTTGGGGTACCTCTCCTTTCTGAGTTGCTGGAACAGTCAGCGTAAACAGCATCTATTGAGTGCTTCCTCTGTGTAGACTAGGACGAGGGGACAAAAGAGGCATAAAAGAATCTGCTTCTATTGGCTTCCTCATTTGTAAAATGAATTTAATGATAATACCTGTTCTCATTCACTTCACAAGTGGTCTAAAAGAATAAATAAGGCAATATGTGTATATAATTTCTTGAACTCCACTCAGAATAAGGATTCATTGTTGACCATAAATAGAAACCATGGTTACATGGACTTGAATCAAGACCACAAGCTGAACCAAGGTTCATGAAGCATAATGCTGAAAGAACACCCTACTCCATGGGGGCCCAGAACACCCTATTCCATGGGGGCTGGGCCCCAACAAAATGCTTGTACATAGGAAATTGTCCATAGCCATCTTACTTTTGACTGTGTCGGGATATATAATGGTTGTATATTTGAAGGGAAGTGGAAGGAAAGTAACATGTTTTGAATATCTACTTTGTGGCAGACCTTTGACATTATATTCTTTCATTTAATTTGATCCTGCTAAACTGTAATCTTCATGAGGATATGGACCATGTCTGTTTTATTTACTGCTGTATACTCAATGCCTATCACAGAGCCCAGCCCACAGTGAGAGCTCGAAGCATTTAAGTAATTTGATTCCAATACATGGGAAAACTGAGGCTCAGAGAGGTTAAATAAATTGTTTAAGATCAGATAGCTTAAAAGCAGGCAGTTCTGTCCTCCTGATCCCGAAGGCTGGGTTCTTTCCAGTACACCATTGAGACACATTGCCTGTGATCAGAGCTACACATTTCTACAACTCCTGTACTTTAATTTATGTTTTCTCTTCCCCAGGTTGAAATCTGGAAACTATTCTTAATACTTTTACAAATTGAGAGCAGTATTTTTAAAACATTATTACTCTTTTAAACCCAAAGAATGGAGAGAATTGGGAAGGAGTCATATTACAGAGTGAGGAAGGTCCACTGAGACACTTTTAGTGTTCCACAGAGTGAAAAGGTTTTAGGGTCTGTAACATGTGGCTATTTTAATAGAGCTAAAAATTGGTCTGTAGGAAAAAAATGCCATTAAACATGATAGTATGTAATGCCCCTAGCAACACCAGTGACTAATGGACATGGGATTGAACTGACAGGGGTGATGTGTGCAAATTGGGACTTTCATCCAGTGCAAACCTGTGGTGCAAGCTGGTAACCTGTGAAGGATTATGATCAAAACTTCCCCCTCAACCTAGGGCAGATATTGCTCCAGCTTGAACTGCCCTTAGACCTAGAGATGCTGCTCTGGTCTTCTTTCAGCCATGCTCCATCCTACAGGATCAGAAGCTCATGGGGCCAAAGGAATATGCTCATTGCTTTTAATGACAGTGATATTTGTTGAACATTTGAATGAGTGATGAAAATTGGTATCTTAAATTGGGTGTGATTTTCACCCCTAGGAGAGGATAAACAAAATGTCATCTTAAAGGCTCCTTCCAACCTGTGGTTTGGAGCCTGGCTAGACAGTACTTGGTGATGTACACTGATTGCAGGCATGAGCAATGCCCAATTTATGCTCTCAGGGTATGCACAACAACTATCTGCTTCTTGTTGGAGAGCAGAGGGCGTTGCTCCTCTTGGAGCCCCAGAAACTCCCAATGAGGTAGGGCATCCAACAGCAGCTTTTCTCCTCCTGGGAAGGTGGGAGCAACTGTGGCATGTTAAGTTATGACTCTGGCATTGAGAAGAGTTCTGTGTAGGAATGGGGAATTGAGAATGAAGGGTGCTGTACTCAGAACCAGCAGTTCAGAATCCCGGTTGTATGTATCTAGTTAAACTTCTGCTAACACTCCTCGAAGTACAGTTAAATCTGGTGCTTGCCCTGTAGAGTGGCAGCCATTCCCATTGCCTTCTGGAATAAGGTGGGAAACACCACAATAAGGTAAGTAGCCCAAGGATAAATCCTATTGATGGCAGAGCCAAGAAAATCCAAGTTTCTTTTCGAACAGTTCAATCTAACATTCATGTTAAAACAACAATTTATGTAATTTACTCCTATAAAATCAAATCTGGCTTTAATGTACTCTAAATCTAGTGTTGCTGATATATCACTCCATTGATATAGCAACTCAGTTTTGACAGTCTTATTTGTATTGTGCCATATTAGTCTTTTTGGATTTCTGTGTGTGTTTCACTCATGTACCCACGGGTATGTGTGCGGCAAGCACAATCTCTCAGCACTGAATATCTACCAGTCTCGTTTCTCCCCTTTAGGATCAAAAGCTCCTGGAGCGCAGGGACCGTTTTGTCTTCATCCTCCATGAGCCAGCATGACACAGAACAAAGGCCTTCACAGAGTGGGAGCTCCATAGACACCAGTGGATGGGATCAATAGTAATTATTTGAAATCTGAAATTCTCAATCCCTGAGTGCATGTAATACCAGTATTACTTAGAGTCTAGGGACCTCCAGTCCTCTTTGCTGCAGCTAGCAGTTGGGAAATTGAGAACTTGCAAAGAAATGGTAACTACCAAAAAAAGATAGTAAATTGATCCAAAACTAGCTGTTTTGAGACACTGTTTTGTATAAGATCAAAGATATAAACTGGAAGGCCAATGATTCTTGACATGTGAGTGTCATGACACACGTTCATGACGCACGAAGACTCTCCTGATCACCCTGTAAGTAATTTCCAAACTAAAGCCAAATAGAAGTATGTCCTTCTACAACCCACTCTGCAATTCTGGGGTTGTTTGAATGTTGGTTTTTTTTATGTCTAGTTACAAAGTTTCTTGTAACAATAGAAGGAGAGAAACTGTAGCTTAGGACAAAATTTTCCAATTCCGTGCTTTTGAATTAGGCCAACTATGCTGTTAGAGAGAGAAGCTTTGAGAGCTGCTAAGGGAAAGTGCCTTGGGTTCCTGACATCTAACAATGAAGATTATATTTAAAAGAAGTCAAATCAGAGTATGTCTGAGCAAACTGTTCCATGGAGCAGGGAGCAATCTAAACCAAAATAAGAATATTTCTCTTCTCTTCTTCAAAGAGACAATTCTCTGTTTTCTTTTGCTTGTGAAAATTTACAGCATAGATCTATTACAGATGGAAAACAAACTGATGGAGTCCAAGCTTCCACCCCTAGGGCATCCACCAGAACATCCCACCAGAGGATCCTGGTTTTAGGTAATGATTAAAATACCACCTTATGGTTGGGTGGCCCTTATCTATCTATAGATGATACACTTTCATATATCTTATTTCAGTCCTTATAACAACCTGTGAACTAGGCCAGTGGTTCTCAGACTTGGATTTCACAGACTAGTGCAATAATGACAACAAAAAAGGGTGACCAACATAGGGCTACCAACTCCTGCTTCTGCCAAGCAAGGACATGAAAATAAGAAATTGATTAAATCACTTGACTACAGTCTGTTTTCACCGTCATTTCATAAAAGGGAATTTTAATACGGCAAAACTGGAAAGGACATAATTTCAGAATAAAAGACAAGCCTTTAAATCAAACGCATTTAACTTGGTGAAAAATTCACTACATTGTTTACTACATCATTGTCACATTTTTGTCACAGGCTGCCAAAAAAAATTCTTCTTGGACCAGAAGGGACAGGTCCACAGGTGGAAGTTTGAGAACCAGTGAACTAGGTGTTATCAGCGCTCATTACCTGATAAGGAGACAGATGGGGAGGTTAAGTCAGTCTCCCAAAGGGGCTCAGCTAGTGAGGGCAGAACCTGGATATAGGCCATGGCCTTCCGGCTTCGAGCTCAGGGTGGTTTCCAGTATAGCATAGCCTTCCCCTGGCTTTGAAGAGGCAGAACAACACATATACATCTGTGTTAACAAGTTCCCCAAAGAATTAGATGGCCACTTATCTCTCTGATTAGTAATGGAGTGTAAATATGCCTCCAATCATGTTTCTAGAGCAGCCACTTTAGCCAGCAGCTCTTGGAGATTAACAACAGAACCTGCTCTCAGGAAGAGTCTTATGGTCCTTAGCTTGACCATTCCTGTGCTGCATTAAATGCTCCAACATCAAAAATGCTGAGCATGAAGCCTCCCCTACACCCACAGTACTCAGTAGTTACTACTATTACTCCTATTGCAGAGTTTGAGTGAAAAAGTCCAAAACTCTTTCCTAAACATCAATACTGGGTTTAAGTCCCTTGGAATTCCTAGAGGCATGTTAATTCATTCTGAAAAATGGAAAGATCTTAAGAGGTCAAGTCGGAGTTAGAATTTGGACATCTCTGCTCACCCCCTCCCCCATCACCACTATTCCTACATTCCTTTCCCTTCCAAACTTCTGCCAACTCTTAGGCCAATTCCAAGAGGGTTTTCAAAATTGGATTCTAAGTCCAGCTGTCTCAACCCAAGACCGAACTTTAGTGGCAACCTTTTTCCTTTTGGAGAATCCTGGATATGGCCCTTAGATTAAGCTGGGAAAGAAGGGGGAGGGGAAGGCAACCAGCTAATATCACCCCAGGAAAACTTGCCAATAGGAGTAGGGTCCCCCGGAGAAATATGTGCTCTCTTTCTCTCTTGGCGCTCAGCAGCAAAATGGCAACTTTGGCCTCTTTCCTTTGGCACCTAAAAGCCCACCTCCCACTTCTCTACCCCGCCCCTACTGTGCCGCACGACTGAGCAGATATGACTGGATTGGCCCTGATGGGTAGGTTTTACTGTCCAGCAATATTTTAAGCTCCCAGCCAGACGGCTTTTATGAAGGGAGGGATGTTTGGAAAACAATAGGAGAGAGAGAATGGGAGAGCTGTGTTGGGCACTGAGGGGAGGAGGGTGAGGGAAAGCTGATGTGGGAAAGCTTAGATGGGGCTTCTGCAGCTTCCAAAAGTTTCTTTTAGCAGCAGACTGGCCCTGTACAACAGGAAATCTTTGGCTTCTCTCTGGAGATTA